CCCCCCCCTGCCTCTGCCTCCCCAGTGCTGGGATTAAAGGCGTGCAATGCCACCAACGCCCGGCTCCATCAAAACTATTAAGGAAGGGACTAAGCAGTGGTGGCACATCTCTTTAATCCCAGCACTTGGGAGGCAGAGGCAGGGGCATCTCTGTGAGGTCGAGGCCAGCCTGCTCTACACAGTGAGTTCCAGGACAGTCAGGGCTACACAGAGAAACCCTGTCTCAAAACAAACAAAAAAGGGAAATGGTTCTTGAAGAACAATATCTGAGGTCTCCATGTGGCCTCCATATGCACACATCCATGTGTACAGGTGCACCTGCACTCAGATATTTGCTGCGCATACAGGGACATGCTTGCACACTTTTGCATGCATGCGCACACACGAGCAAACATGCACCTACGCACACATGAACATGCATATACACAACCTTGCAGGCATGTGTGTATGTGCGTGCGCACACACACACACACACACACAACCAGGGAAAAAGCAGACTTTACTTACTTAGTTGGCCATGTGGTCACTGAATTCAAAATTCACCATTCCCTCCTCAGACTCCCTCAGACCCGGCCCCCATCTCAGAGTCTGTCATCTTGGCTGGTGGAGACTGGACTCTGAGTCTCCTGAAGTGGCTCACTGGGCTTTCCTCCCCATGAGGTCTTGTGTGAGCCTGGTAAGTGCTCTCTCTACATTTGCATCGGATTAGGGTCCCCTGGGCCCCCACTCTGAGCTTCCTGTAGAAAGGAGGCGGACGAGGCTGTAATTACATCTCTGCTCCTGCTCCCACCTCACAGCCCTCTCCAGTCTGCTTGCATCATGTCTGTGGGAGCCACAAGGGAAAAGGGGGGACAGAGAGAGCGAGCCAAGGCTGAGCTGGGGGTGGGGAAGGATACCTGGCAGGGACCAGACTGCAAGGCTTCTGGGTGGCCACAAACTCAGCCCTTCATAGCTTAGAACCTGAAGGAATCTGGGCTCCCAGGACCATTGAGCCCCAAATTTATATTTCTTTCAGTTTTTTTCTTTTTTACAATTTAATTTGTGATCCGCGTGTGTGTGTGTGTGTGTGTGTGTGTGTGTGTGTTGTATATATCAGAAGACAATTTGTGAGAGGTAGTTCTCTCCTTCCACCACGTGGGTCCTGGGGATTGAAACTCAAGTTATTAATTAGGCTTGGTGGCAGGCGTCTTTCCCTGCAGAACACGATCTCACTAGCCCTCCTATTTCCTGCTTTCTTCCCTCCTTCCTTCCTTTCTTTTTCTATTTCATCCTTTCTTTCTTTCTTGCAGAGCCATGTCACTAGCCCCCCCCTCCCTTCTTTCCTTCCTTCCTTCTTTTGACAAGGTCTTACTTTACAGTGTGACTCAGGCTGGTCTGAGCTCTCTCTGTAGTCCAAGACAACAAGACAACTCCTGTGGATCCTTTTGCTTCTGCCTCCTGAGTTCTGGGGTTACAGATGGGGGAGCAAGGATTTTCCGCCTAAGGAAGGATCCAGCTTGTTGTTTTGGGGCCCCCAGCCCCCAGTACTCCTCTTGCTTGCTGGGCTTCTCTGGTGCCGTGATTACAGGTAAACCCCGTTATACTTGCCTTTTCTTTTTCTTTTGGTTTTCTAAGACAGGGTTTCTCTGGCTGTCCTGGAATTCCCTTTGTAGACCAGGCAGGCTTCGAACTCAGAGATCCACCTGCCTCTGCCTCCCGAGTGCTGGGAATAAAGGGGTGCGCCATTGCTGCTCAGCTATTTTTTTTTAACAGTTTCTCACGGTGTAGCCCCAGTTGGCCTTGAACTCAGAGCACTCACACCTTCTGCCTCCTCAGCCTCACAAAGGCTGGGGTTAGAGTAGACTCCACCAGGCCCTCACGTCCGTCCCTGAGTCAGTCTTGCAGCCCTTCGAGGAAGGAAGCCTAGACCAGTGGGTCTTAACTTGTGGGTCTCAAACCTTTGGGGGGCCACTGGAAAATACCGATATTTACATTATGATTCGTAACAGCAGCAACATTACAGTTATGCAGTAGAAACAAAAGTAATTTCATGGTTGGGGGGTGACCACAACATGAACTGTTGAGAACCCCTGCTCTAGACTATTGGGCTATAGGGCCCTTCCCGACTGGAATGTGTGTGGTCTGAACCTTCCCCCTACACGTAGCTGGACTTGGCTCGGCGACTGTTGAGAAAGCTCTGGGGCCCGGACGGCAGGAGGGAAGCCAGGAGACTTGGGGAGGGAGGGGTGGCAGAAACTGGGAGGAGCCAGGAACCTGAAGTGGGGGCAGGGAGACAAGGCTGGTCCTAAAGTCACCAGACACCAGAAGCACTGGATTAATTAATCTCATTAGCTTTACATCTCTTAACGGCACTGTCTCTGGTCACCCCTGCTCTTTCCTGCCATCCTCAGCTGTGTGAGGTCAGCTTTGGGGACCAAGATCTAGCTGGGGTCAGATGCAGGTCAAGAGGTGTGTGGGGGTACACGCCTGAGGAAGTGCCTGCTTCCTCCCAGTCGACCGTCCTAGGGCTCTCATTGCCCGGGTCTCATTAGTTCTTCGTTCTCCCCATGCGGAGCTGGCTGGGCTGGCTCAGGAGACCTGGGAGTGAGGGAAAAGAGAGGCCCAAAGCCAGGCTGAGCCACGCAGGACAGCCTGGCCCAGTATAGCAGCTTCTTGAAGCAGGGCAAGGGCAGAGTCCAACAAGACAGGCCTAACAGCAAGCATGAGCAGCTGGTGGGGCATATATGGAATGCATACGTTGAGCTGAGCACAAACATGCTCCCAGGGCCTGCACCAGGAAGAAAGGGACCAAGGAGTCAGGACCGGGGCAGGGGGGGCTCAGGGCAAATGGGCTCTACAGTAGGAACCAATAACTCAGCCAAAGGGACCTGCCTACCCAGGCCCTACACACCACACGGCAGTACATAGCCTCATTGTGTGGGGTCTTCTGTGCCCTCTGTGTCCCTCTGGCCTTGGTACACAGTGATTGTTAGGTTTGTCGAAGTGAATAATAGCTCCAGCAGCTATCTGAGAAGCAGGCAGGATAAAGAGTCTTATTTTACACAATTCCCCACGGCTGGGACATTTGTTGATCAGGGGAAGCCTTTTCCTAAGATCACCCAGTGAGTGGTGAGTGTCAGGACTGGTGAGATGGCTCACTTTGGAAAGGCACCTGCGGCCAAGCCTGAGGACCTGAGTTCAGTTCCAAGGACTCACTCACATGGTGGAATGAAAGAACCAACCCACATCTGTCCTGTGACTTCAGCATGCCTTGGTACACGAGCAAGAACATACATAAACTCAATAAATAAGATATAAAAATTGCCAGGCGGTGGTGGCGCACGCCTCTAATCCCAGCACTCGGGAGGCAGAGGCAGGCGGATATCTGTGAGTTCGAGACCAGCCTGCTCTACAGAGTGAGTTCCAGGACAGCCTCCAAGCCACACAGAGAAACGCTGTCTCGAAAAATCAAACCAAATAAACGAAAAACAACAAACAACAACAGAAGATACTGTGAGCTATGACATGTTGACACACGTCGGCAGACATGCCTGTGAACCGGCAGTACACACATCCTCACACATTTCAGAAACACTTGCCTATCCATGCACAGAAGCAAGCATATATCCATGGAGCTGGAAAGAGAGCTCACCGGATAAGAGCATTCGTTGTTCTTGCAGAGGACCTGGGTTTGAGTCCCAGCACCCACATAGTGACTCTCAACTGTCCATCACTCCTACTTCCAGGGGATCCAACATTTGCTTCTGACCTCATTGGGCACTGGGCAGGCACGAGGTGCACAGACATACATGAGAGCAAATAGTCGTACACATAAAATGAACCCACCTATCTTTGGGTGGCAAATTATATCTCTGTATACCTGGCCATACCTATGTACACCCATCTGGCATTATCTATGCACACCCCCACCTGTGAGTCCTATGTGCTTGCTCGACACCCACCTCACAGGAAGCAGGCAGCTAAGGACCTGGCCAATGAGGAGCTAGAGGAGACACCCATAGAAGCTGTTCACGCACGCGCACACGCGCGCGCGCGCGCACACACACACACACCACAGGCAGACAGACAGACAGACAGACACACACACACACAGACACACCACAGGCAGACAGACAGACAGACACACACACACACACACACCACAGGCAGACAGACAGACAGACAGACAGACACACACACACCCCACAGGCAGACAGACAGACAGACAGACACACGCACACCCTTTAACTTGCAGTCTCTCATTCCAGGTTCCCAGCTCCCATCCTCCTCTCTCTGATCCCCATTTCCCTCACCTCTGGGAACCGCCTCTGAGTCAGTCCCCATCCTCTGTGGTGTCTGGCCTGTCCTTCCTCTTCCGAAGAGCCTTGGGGTCCCTGGGGGAGGTTGAGTCCTTCTGCCTGTGGTGGGTTGAAAGCAATCTGCTGAGTCACCCTCCCAAGGCAGCTCCCTTCTTAGGAACCATGTGAGGGTGCAGATGGCCCACCCCTCACATGAAGACATCTGGCCCTAGGCAGTGAGCTACATGGAGCCATGGGTAACCTTGGCATAGATCCCAGGGTCCCTCTGTCCCCTCATCAGGAGAGAGCTGCCCGTTACTGCCAACCCCAACCTGCTTCTTTTTGTTCTCCGACCTTTTGGGACAGAGTCTTGTGTAGCCCAGGCTGTCTTGGGAATCTCTGTGTTGTTGCTAAGGACGACCTTGGACTTTTCTGATCCCTGTTCCTACCTGTGCATAACACCACACCCTGAGAGATCCATTTCTGATCCAGGAGCAGGGCAGAGGAGCCGAGAGCAGTGCCTAGGATCCTCGGGGGCATGGCTCCTAGTAAGACCCGCCTGGGAGGGTGCAGGGGCTTGTCCGAGGTCCCTGTGCACAGTGGCCAGGGGACTTCCCGAAAGTAAGTAGTGGTGATGGGGACAGGAAACCATCAGGAGAGAGCTCCGGGAAATGGAGGTCCCACCTCCTCCTAGAAACTCTCCTGATGCCAAGACAGGACGCCAAGCCTGCCAGGCATCATCCTTCATTAATATGATATGACTTCCTGAGTTCCCTCTGGTCTTCCTGGGAACCAGAGGCTATGACAGGGACCACATGGCCTCAGGCCTGCCTGCCCCCACTCAGGTTCTTCATCCCCCCAGAGCAGAGCTGGGTGGTCCTTTGGGGATCCCCAGAGTGGCTGCCATCCTGTCGGAAACTAGGGATGCCAGCTGGGTGGCAGCTGGCCATGCGTGATAGGAAGATGTGGTCATGGGGGCAGGAACACAGATGGCAAAGCTGCAGCTGCCTGAAGTCCAGCCCCGGGGAACACTCCTGCCCCTGTACATGAGACATTTCTCAACAGGCCTTTTCCCTGCTACAAGGCAGGCCTGGGGTGGGTGGGAGGCTGGCCACACTCAGCCACACGCCTGGAGGAGGAAACTGGAGTAAACCTACCTTCTGCCCTTGCCGGGGACCATCATGAACCTCTTCACTAAAACTTGTCTCCCTGGAAAACAAGGGTGTCATCCCTGTGTTGGTGGCACACGCCTTTAATCCCAGCACTCGGGAGGCAGAGGCAGGCAGATCTCT